TTGTATAAGTGTAACATTTCAAAAGATGCCAGGATGTAGCTATGAAAATTTTGTCTAGGATACAGACATTGAATTCTTGAAATTAACCATGACTGCTGAAAGCACAGAGTAAAAACAAATAAACGATAACTTATTTGAAAATTGCAAAAATACAGTAATTCACATTGATAGACTTTGTCAGTTGAATTTAATAAAACTTATATAAACTCTGGTTTCATTAATGCAATTTCATATTTTGAGTTGTTGGTATCAATGCTTTTTTTGCTTTTTCTAATTGTGTTTTTAAATATAGGTACTTCCATGAGATCATTAAAAAAAGAGCATAGCATGATGAAAAAGATGCCAAACTTGACGAAAACAAAATTTTATCTAAATGTTTGTTATTACTAAGAGGAAAGATCAAAGTTTATTTTAATTATTTTTTTAAAATTTTTCCTTCTTTTTAGAACATCCTGAATTTTGATTTAAAAATCCCTGTTTCTCTTTGTATCACCGGAACTAGTGAAATAACATATACAATTTTTAGCACTTTTTTTTTTTTTTTTCTATGACACACAATAATTTGGGAAATCTTGCAAAAATAGAAATAATTGTCCGATGTTAATGAAACTTTCAGAAACTATTCACAGATCAAAATTATTTTTTTTTTTTTTTTTTTTGTTTTTTTTTATTAAAGTCATGCCAGAAATATTTTTTATATTTATCCCCCCCCCAACTAATTTTATGAAAACTCTAGAAATTCGATCGAGTCCACTTTAGTAATTACAATAGTTAAAAGCACAAGGCTTTGAGGAATGCAAATCATGTTTTTTTTTTTTTTTTTTTTTTTTTTTACACACACACACACACACACACACACACACACACACACACACACACACACACACACACACCTGAAAATCAGCTCTGAATTGTAACATACAAAACTCAATAAAACAAAGATATTATTTAATTTCAAATACTTTTATTTACTTTTAGTTATTTTTATGAATATGGACAATATTTTCTGAAATCAAAACATTTTTTCGAAGAAAAATGAATTTTTAATACAATTATTTGTTATTTCTTTAGTTATAATAGATTTTTACATTTAAGTTGTTAAAATATTATAAAATTAGTTAAAAGCCGCATCCACTTTCGTAAGTGTCCTTATGAGATAGATCTTTTTTTAGTGCGGTGTAAATTGTATCATTTTGACTATTCAGAAGACCCACAGTAATTAAGAAATGTAATTTTGTGTTCATAATCAGGCTGTAATTATAAAGTGTGGAAGACCAACCAGAATACAATTAAGTTGCATTATTTGAGTTAAGCATTGTTCTCCACTGTTAAGGCCTTTACTTTTGCGAAACATGTGGAGAAGGTAATTTAATTTTTCAATTTCAACTGAGAAGGGTACATACAAGTATCAGTATCATCTTATAAAATTTATATGATCTTATTTTTATGTTAATCTCAGTTATGTCATTTTTCCATAAATGAAATATCAAAATTAATAATAAAATGAATAGAAATACAAATAACACAGTAAAATGTAGTAAATGTACATAAAATTATAGTATTTTATGTACATTTCTGATAAAATTTCATAAGAAAGGAACCTATAAATTAATTAGATACCTTTCTTATGAAATTTAATCTCACTCTTAACAGTCTTATTTTAATTTCTTTATAATATATTTTCCATAAAGCATTGTAAACGTAAAGATGAAAGCTAAGTACAAAAAACAACAAAAAAATTAGTGCTGAAAGTTTTCTTTAAAAATAACGAGGTAAATAATTTCACTTAAATCTAAACAATTTCACTTTTCTCCTTTTGTAGAACAAATTATCCTCACGTAATCTGTCAATATGTCATTCATCACCTGTCAAGTGATGGGAAAGTTTGACCTGCTTTGTTTTATTTTCAAATTACATCTTTTCGGCGCAGAAGCTAAGTTAAGCTTGGTTCAGAATATTTTAAATAAGTATAATTTCTGATTTTCTTAAAATAAGTTTTGAAAAAATAATTGATTTTTTTAAAAGAATTTCAAACTGAAATTTTTTTTTTTTTTTTTTTTTTATAAAATGGAAAAAAAATGGTTGCCATGATCAATTATCTGTCAATTTTGCTGACTCAAAGAAAAAAAACAAGATTTTTAACGGAAACTTCGGACATGCTAGGAATGATTAAAAAATACACCAAAAACACTTTGATCTTTCCTCTTAATAATAACATAAACATTTAGATAAAATTTTGTTTTCGCCAAATTTAGCATCTTTTTCATCATGCTATGCTCTTTTTTTAGCGATCTCATGGAGGTACCTATTTAAATAGGATTTTAAATTGTGCTCATGCTTTAGTTTTAATCCTGATAAATGGGTTATTATGGCTATGAATTAGAATTCCTAACCAAATAACTTTTCTTAAAGGACATATAATGTGGATGCATATACAGCAAGTATTTGAGTCCTAATCCCCACCTTTTACTCAGTAATCTGCAAATGATGTTAGTTCAGGGTTCTGTTGAGACAAAAGCTATAAAACTGACTTTTAAATTTAATTTTTGTCTCTACTGATAATTTGAAGAAGTTGATAATCTTTTTTTTTTTTTTTTTTTTTTTTTCTGTGCTTGTGAAAGTTTATCAGAATATTTTTGAATAAACTATTTCCATGTCTTAATACCTTATATTTTACTTCCAATATTTTAACTTTTTCCATGTTTTTTTTTTTTTTTCCTTAAAATTGTTTCATTTTCTTTACAGGCAAAAGGATTCAAGAGATTATCTTTTTGGTTGTTGCCATCTGCCTGTTCATCTTCAACTTTATTAACTTGGTCAGATATTTCAGAATAGATAATTTGTACTTTATTGCTATATCTTCTAGTAAGTATATGCTTTGTTATTCAATTCATTTTCTATATAAATAAATCTACAATCAAGTGCCTCTGCCTACTTATTGACAGCAATCATTGCAGATCTTTACCAACAATCCTTACAGCCATTCTCATACAACAGCAACAAAAATGGATAATGTTGTAACAGATAATTTCTGCTTTGCTATTGACAGTCAAATCACACTGGGTTAAATTTGATAATTCCCATTAGTAGTCTTTTCTTTTTCTTCCATCCCCTGTTTTCTTTTTCAACATTTAATTACAATACAAAACTGTTTTTTCTTTCATCTCTTTTGTTTTACTTGGTAGATAGAAATGTAAGGAAAGCTGAAAACCAAATCCAATGTTTTTACTGAAGAGCCTAATATGCAGCATTAAATATTATTATAATTGCATTATTATTGTTACAAATATACAGTCCATAAAAACTTGAGAAATCAAATTTATACTTATTTAAGTTTCTTGGTGAAATATAAATTGAGATATTTTGGATGAAATGATAATCAATTAATATTTAAAAAAATGTTTAATATTATTTTTATATATATATATATATATATATATATAAGGAATACTACAACCATATTTGGGTAAAGTCTTGTTATTTCTTGATTTAGAATTTAGGTTTTTGGTTAATTTCTTTAGCAATATTTCTAATTCCTCTTATCCCTGAAAACTTGTCAGTTTTATTCATCTCAATACTATTTGCATTGACTTTTCAGTGCAAGTTGCTTGTCTTTGTTAGAAATTGAAACAGCAAAAGATTGGGTGTTAACTGCCCTAATTTGTTCTGAAATCCTCTGTATGATACAGTAGAAAAGGGAAGTGATAACTAGGATGCAGTCATTGAATAATGTATTGGTCAATGATTTACTCACCTAAATGTGAAAAGAGTGATGAGCTTATTAGAAGACAGCTCTGAACTGGAGATTCATGACAAGCCAACATGATGATCACAGTCAACCAGCTTGTTATGTGACTGTTATATAATGGTTAATTACAAGATTTGGTGGGAGGGAGTGCATGCAAATATTTACAAAAGTTGGGTGTTATGTAGGAGTGAACAAAGGAATTAAGCAATAATAGAAAGTGAAAAGAAAGCTCGAACAGTGCTCGTTCGTTAATATCTAATGATTTAATGTTATTGAAAGTTGTATGAAAAATCAGATTTCATCTCACACCTGTGATTTCAAATAATGACTGGTAGTGCATATATGACACAGGCATTACCTATTATGGCCACAACCATTATTTGACTCTAATTGACTACATTTTTTGATGTGATAACCATGACTGACAACATTCTGCAACTGTCATACAGCAGCTAGACTATATATTATGAAAGAGGCCCACTGCATGAGACCCTAAATGATTGATACTGCATTCTGTAGTAAAACATTCAGAACCTTTGTGGCAATGAGGCATCTATTAGCACTTTCAATATGTAACATCAGAAAATGGGATCATTGAAAGGTATTACAGGAGCATAAAAAATTATTGCTACCAGATAGCAGTATTCAATAATGGAAGTGCTGGCACAATACGACACAAAAGGATGACTCATCAACCCTGACTGTGCCTACCAATATGATCCACCTTTACCTTTTAGATATTTTAGTATGATAGCCATGGTTACATTATAGACTAGTGCCATACTAAAAATAATCAACACTTAGTGAATTGGATTTAAACTTGGACTTAACCTGAGACTTACTAAACTAACTAGAAAAACTGAATTAAACCAGTTTTCAAAAAATTATTTTTCAAATGTACCTGAATATACAAGAGTGTTGAACAGTTTTTGGCCTGATCAAGAATGGTATTAATATTCTCCAACTATGTCTGATATTTCATTATTTGACCAAGATATGAGAAGTGAGCCAGGTTAACTTTTTATATGAAATCTAAATGTTCTTGTAATAAAATAAAAATAAAAAAATCTGTTTTCTCAATATTATAATCTGACTTTATTCACATTCTACTAGTTCATCTTTGCTTATTTTAGGAAAGCTAAGAGTCTTCAGTAATCATCTGAACGTTATCCAAAATTTCTTTGGATAACATTTTTTTCTCATTTTACAAGAATAGTAAATTATTTGATTATAGGCCAAAATATCCAAATAAATGACGTATTCTTTCCCTGTCTGTCCAGTTTTTGGCATACTGACAGCTGACTTTGCCAGTGGTCTTGTGCATTGGTGTGCTGATACCTGGGGAAGTGTACAGTTACCCATTATTGGAAAAGTAAGTGCTTTCTCTTTTTTTTTTTTTTTTGTTTTGTTATGGTGAGGGGGGTCTATTAATTTTATATTTAAAATATTGCAAAAATAGTCATTGAATAATAACTTTTACATTTTTAAAGTTTTAGTCAAGTGCATCTAGAATTGGAAATTCATAAGTTTCCATTTTTAGATAAGATACAAGGGAGGTAATCCAATTAAAAGACTAGTGATATCAGTATTGTAAAAATGTTTTAAGGCCTTTTTAAAACTAACGTAAAAAATTTTCTTTTCACACTCCATCTCCTTTTTAGCGTTGCTGTTTTTAGATCCTATCAGAACAAATTAATTTGACTTTTTCTCTCTACAGTAAGCATATCTGACTATAATTTGTTCACTTAATAATCTCTCCTTGTTCTTTCTCTACATTCAGTATCTGTAATTGGGTCTTCAGACTTCATTAAATACATTAATGACTCTAAAAATTGTTTTGATAACTTTTTGTACCTGATTTATCTCTTCATTTTTTTGTTAAAGAGTTACCTATTTCTTTTTGTAGGCCTTTATCCGCCCATTCCGCGAACATCATATTGACCCAACATCAATCACTAGGCATGACTTCATTGAAACTAATGGTGATACATTTGCAGCCACTGTACCCTTCATGTTGTACATGTCTTATAAGTTCTGCTATTACACCAATGAGCAGATAAGGGACACATATAACTGGGAGTGTTATGTATTTTTACTGGCAATATTTGTTAGCATGACAAATCAGGTAATTTGTTTTTTTTTTTTTTTTTGTTTTTTTTCCTATTTCTTTTTCTTTCATGGGGAGGTGCTCACTAATCTTTAGTGCAAACTGATATCATTAAAAACTATTTAAATATAAAACAGTTATCAAAGGTTTGTGACATTTCTGCTAACAGAATAATTTTAAGTTCAAGTCAACTGAAATTTTAACCATTTGGCTTCAATTTCTCAAGATTAATCATTACTTTTGTGGTTTCAATCACCGCTTCCTAAACTTCATCAGGTTTACATAATATCTGAAACTGCATACACACAAATGATCAAGTGGCTGAGGAAATGTTTATTAGAAATAAGAAATAAACTTGCTGAGATGTATTTAATCTTTTTTTTTTTTTTTTTTTTTTTTGTAATCCAACATTATTTTTTAAGGGGTAGGGTTTTGTTATTTTTATTGAATACATGGGTCTACATTGCTAAAAAATACCTCCCACCTCCACACTCTGAGCTTAATTCTCTATTTAGTGTAGATCTGACATTTAATTGCTTGATCAAGACAAACCCACAAGTCTATTTTTAATTCTGACCTTGTGTTTTCTTACCCTCCCCCTACCACTTTATCTTTTGGAAAAGAGGTAACACTTTACTTTTGAAATTTTTAAAAAATTATTTAATCACCAGTCACATACCATTCACCTGAAGAGGTACAAAGTAGAACTGAAACACAAAAGCTATTGTGTAATAATTTCAACATGTTTTTGTTCTAATATCTAAAATAATAATATATTGCTCTACATTATATTGAGCGCTTTTTAAAAAGTAAAGGCTACAAACAACGGAATTTGACTTCATCTGTTATTTCTGTCATTTAGAGATTTTATATATATATATAAGCATGATATATTTGAGTAAAAGTGATCAATATCAGGGATAATGTATGTGTATATAAGAGTGGATGCTGAGTGGTGTCTGTAATATGCTTGAATACATAGATGGCCTGAAAATTGTGTAAAAGCAAAAAACAGATAAGAATGGACATTGATGTCAACACTGTGGTGACAAAAATGTCCATTCTTACATTTATTTATATATTTACCATATATACTCTCTTATGTGACTTTCGAAGATTTAATTTTGAAGCTAAATTTAGGGGGGGTGCATCATACACGAGATATAAAATTAGTGTATGTACTGCTGACACTGGCTATGCTGTTGATCAAACTATATATCTATTTGCTGTAATCAAAAAGTACAGCTGTATTTAAAATAAACATAATTTTGATAAGTTTGACTGTATCCAATAATAATGCATGTAATATTCACATATTAGTATCATCTTATAAAGTACAAACAGCAAATATGCATCTCTTCCATTGTTTATGATTATAAGAGGTTTAGCTGTTTCTTGTTCTGTTTATGGCTGTACACATTTACACAAGTATAGCATTACTAACAATAAATTTATCATTCTCTTTTACTTATTTAAACTAGAAGATGGAATAAGGAGTTGGAAAAGAGGCTAGTCTATTGAAATTTCTCTCAAAAAAAAAAAAAAAAAAAAAAAAAAGAGAACTTACATGATAGTCATTTTTCATAAGTGAAAAATTTGTGGCTTGCATGATGCACAAGATCATCGTTACACAAGTGTGTGTGTATATATATATATATATATATATATATATATATATATATATATATATATATATATATAAAATTATTATAAAAGGCACAAACATTTAAAATTTCATGAGGTTATATTTATTTCTTTAGGGCTGTAAAAACAGCCCCAATTCATCAGACCTTCAAATCCAAAAGGCTTTTGAATTTGAAAGCCTGGTGAATTGGGGCCATTTTTATGACCCTAAAGAAATAAATATAACCTCATGAAATTTTAAGTGTTTGTGCCTTTTATAATAATAATAATAATTATTGTTCTGCCTGGGACATAGAGCCCTCCCTGGATTTATGTCATTTAGGAAATATCCACACTAATCACTAATATCATTTATTTTATATATATATATATATATATATATATATATATATATATATATATATATACTCCCATCCTTAAAAAAAAAAATCACACATCTAAAGTTTAAGCTTCAATTTAGAAGATGAAAATGCAATATGTAAACAAAAATAGGATTTCTAAGGCCAATAGGTAAAATAAAATGCTGTTTAAAACATGGCTTCTGCTCAAATATGTGTATCCACTAAAAAATTATATATATATATATATATATATATATATATATATATAGTGGTTGCTAATGAATATATAGTAAATTTAAATTACTTTGTATTTTTCAGTTCCATAAATGGTCACACACTTACTTTGGTTTACCTTGGTACATAAAATTGCTGCAGAAGTACCACCTTATTTTGCCATGCAAACATCATCGTATCCATCATGTAGCTCCACATGAAACCTATTTCTGCATTACAACTGGATGGCTGAATTACACATTAGAGAAAATCTGTTTCTGGACCATTTTGGAGTATATCATTGAGAAGACCACTGGCTGTAAACCACGGGATGATGACATGAAGTGGGCCAAAAAAGTTGATTAACTGTGATTTCGGAATTCATCCACCTGAGGAGACAAAGGGTTTCCAGGTGCAGACACTAATAAATTTTTTTCTTTGTCCTTTAATTTGTGTTTATTTTAGACAGTCACAATTAATATTTAACAATTCTTCAAAACTGTTGACGGCTTGGTGGCCTTTACTTATATTATTTTTGTATGAAGTTTTGCTGCTTTATAAGCTTTTTGAGGTAAAAATGTAAATATTGCTTTGTCATAAATTTGATTTTATTATTTAGGCTCTTTTAAAAGTGATGTGAAAAGCACAAAATATTACTTCCTAATTTTTAAGAAATTTTTTTTTTTTTTTTTTTTACCTCTTAATGCTAAATATATTTAATATGTGGTAGTAACTTAACCTTTGAGGATTGAGCTTTTAAAAAAAAATTCTAAGGATAACATCACTTAACTCCTACCCATAAGTTTGTAGGGCATAACAAATTTGCCTTGTATGTGGCTGGTGGTGGCAGATGCAGTTATATTAAAAAAAATAATGCTTGTATAAGGAGGTTGTCCAAAATGTTAAGTAGTTCAAGAAACAAGACACTTTTCTTTACTATTTTTCAGTATAGTTCTAATTGACATCATTGCACTGGTCCAACAATGCTTAAGCATTGTAGTCCCCTCAAATAAAAAAATGGTGTCCTTGTCTACCAAAATATCCTCTACAGCACACATGATTTCATCATTGTTTCCAAAATGACAATCATACAGGTGGGATGTGGGTTTAGGAAACAAGAAGTCAGATGGAGTTTGGGGTAATAATTCAAAGCCATAGTACTGCCAGCCTAGCAGTATGAATGGGCATTTTATCCTGGAGCAAGAGCACACCTGTCTTCAGCTTCCCACTGCATTTCAATTTGATTGCTTACTTCAGCTGTTTTAATTCTGGTACATAGTACTGTCCATTATGTTTTTCCCTTATCCAGGTTTCATCTTGAGTTACTAATCTGCAGTGGAAATTCTCAGTAAGTCTGGAAACGAGTCAAGTGTTCTGGAAACGTCAACCTTTTTCAGCTTCTGCTCTAGACAGCTTGCTCATTCCCAAGATCAAAATTGTATGGACCAAACCAGAACTAATGCCTATGAACTTAGCTATCTGCTGGACAGTAAGATGTCTGTCATCCAAAACCATATGTTGAATGGCATCAACTTGTTCATCAGTGGTTGAGGTTTTTGAATGATGTGACTGAGGGTCGTCATTTGTGCTGTCCCTGTTCTACTTGAATTCCGCAGCCCACTTCTTCAAAGTTGCCTTGGAAGGGGAGTCCTCAGCAAGTGTCTGTACCATGTCCTTATAATTTCCTTGGGTGTCATACCTTTATGGTTGCTGGGGCCTCTGTTTTGTACATTTTTAGATTTATTGCACACCTCACATCTTTGTATGGGCCTCAACTGCACAGAAATGAAGACAGAAATCTGAATTAATCTTTCTAGTTTTATAAGAAGTGGTGTGACCACAACAAATATGCTCATCTATACTTTTTGGTTGAGGCTTAGAACTTTTTGAACAACCCTCATAGGCATTAGAGAATTTAATTTGATTTCCATATTGAATTGATGGACTTCATAATGGTTAAGACTACCACTGGCAGTATGGAACTTCAAGAAATGTTTTTATTTGTTTATTGACATTGAAGAAAAGAATATAATCAATAATAATTTTTATTCATTTTTTCTGACTTCCAAATTGATTTTTCTAATAATAAATGGGCAGATATTTAATTTAACTTAACCATATAAAATTTATTCTGTGATGTCAGTGACCAGCCCAGTTGTCTATGCATTGCCTCAGAAGACATTAAAGGATAGTTGCTGATGCAGTAAAACTTACTCCCAGTTTGTCAGAGCTGCTGCCATGTACCTGGGGTAGTTGTTACATCGTAGGATACTGTTTATGCTGACTATTTCTTGATCATGTGTCTCTGGGTTGCCACTTATGACTTTTTGCTTGATGTTGTAAGCAGCAGGTGATCCCTTTCTTTACACTGTATGGGTGGTGTGAGTTGAGGTATTATCTGGTGAATGTTGGCTTGCAGAACATGGATGTCTTTAACCCATGCTCTGTTCCACATATTAGTACATCCAGGAAGACGAGTTTGTTGTTGTTTTCTCTCTCCATTGTAAAATGTATCGATAATATTATTGAGTTCATATGGTCCAGTATTAGCTGGACATCTTCCTGGTGTGGGCAGAGTATGAAGGTGTCATCTACATATTTCAGCCATCCGGACTTATCATCTAGTTGGATTGGATGAGAACATCTTTGATTATTTCCAGAGTGGACGGAGTTTCGGACATATGAAGTTGACTTTCATATTAATGGATCAATTATATCTACAAGCAAGTGACTTGGAGGGTGGCTGTTGTAGCATACCTACAAATGATAATGGGTATGTCCCCATTCATATAAATACAGTAGTGAATACTGTATGTGTTGGTCTGCAGTTGGAGATTCATTGTAGAATTCACCTGATTCACTTCTAGCAGTTGACAACTTCTACATGCTGCTGGCAAATCTTATATGTGTGGTTCGTGTCCTAAGTATTATCATTCATTACCAACCTTCATGTGATTATTTTATTCAGTAACCTTCCATAGGTTACAACAGTAGCACACAGAGCCTTGGCAGCTAACAATCAGCCTGAATGGAATACTGTGTAGATTTTAGGAAGACCATATATCTGACGTAGCTTGGTGTAATGTTGTGACAACTACCTGTATGTCTTAGGTGGGAAGTGGTCCTTGTTTTTGATTAGGATCTGCAACATTTTTCATTCTATTTTCATTGTTGGATCTTTATTTTACTGTTACTACCATTTCTAATGAGGTCTTCTGGCTTTCTTGTATATTCCAATCTGTCCATCACTATAGTTGCATTGCCTTTGTCAATTGGTAGTATGATGAGTATTTTTGTAGTAGTAGTAAGAAGTTTTGGAAACTGATAGGATATCTGATAGTCTTCATTCCAGTGCAACTGATTTATATTAACCAAATATCTGCTGCTGAATTCTCATGAAGAAATTTCAATGCCTTTTTGTTACTTATCTTTTCAAGGAAATTATTTAATGCTTTAATCTCTAAAAAGAATTTGCAGACTACTTCTTTGTGAAACCTGAAAATTTTTGATTTCTTAATCTTTCTGAAAGAAACCAATTTACCTAAGTAAACCATTAATTCTTAAAATACATCAGTGATGTATTAAATTAACTAAGGTATTAATGATTTCTTCTGTCTAAAAAATATCTTTCTTTTGAAAATTGTCTTATCTTTATTTTTTATTTTTTTGCAGAAACCTGTGTCTGGGTTCAAGCCACTACATATTTTTATTTATTTTAATTTTTGGCTTCTGAGATGACTGAAGAATCAGTGTTATCTTACTGAAAAGTTCAATAGATTTGCTGTTAATAATCCATTATATCTATATACCATGCTCATCTCAGGATACAGACGACACCACATGTTAACATGCCTCTTTTGATCTTCAACTAACCAATCAGAAAGCCCAGCACCAACAATTTCAGTCTTCTCTTTAGTGCTACATAGGTGTCCAAAAAAGCACAACTCTTACACAAAGAATATAGAACTGATAACAACTATGTAAGAATTAAGTCTGCTTATTTTAAAAGCCTCTCTATTTGTGTATATGCTTATCTGTGAGCAATGATTCAACTTGTAATAGTGATTGGTTTTTTAGAAACTTTTACAGCAAATAGATTTTGAAGTATATAAAAATAAGTTTGTTTAAAGCAATCACTATATTAAAAGATATTTTTCAGTTTTGTGATGTCTGAATCTTTTGTGCAACTGATAAATATTCATCATAACTGATAAGAGGTAAGAGTTGTCTGCCCATGTCAAAGGTCTACTTCATACTTCCTCCTCTCATATGTCTGCCTGTTCCTCTTCACTCATTACAAGTGATCCTCTTAGCTTCCATGCCAAATCCTCCTCATCAACTTGCATTGTGGTATAAAACAAAGGAATGTTTTTTTTTATTTTTTTTTCCACTTTATTCCAAAGATGCCAATCCAGATCTTTACAGGGACGAATTCTTTCATTAATTT